CCAACATTTTAATAATTTTGAACTTACGCTCTAATCACTTCAAGTTGCATCTGTCAGCTCGTTATCTAACACCACCAAATGTTAGTTTCCTCTTCCTTCCCTTTCTTCGGAAGATTCAACAGCTAAAGTGTGTGAGAAAATTTGTGAGTGGAAGGAGAGATCAATAATATGCCTTTTCCCATTGCCAATTACATGCAGACAGGAATATGTAATGGAGGCCAAAGGACCTTCCTTGTGCCATATTTGAGATGGTACAAACTGTTTTTCCAATTCTGTCAAACAATATAATCTCCAAAGTGTCTTAGAACGGGATGAGATTCTATTCTATTAAACAAAGTAGATGTTTTGTACCAATATTATCCCTACAGATCACTGGAAACATCCTCTAAATCACAGAGATCCACTGTTCACAAAAAGTAGAAAATTACATCCTCCTTGATGTGCAGTACTAATGAAGTGCATCTCTATCTAGGATGGTAGGTTGGTTGGAGGGTGGGTTGTTTTTTGAATTTTATTTTTGGTTTTGTTTTTTGTTTGGTTTGGTTTTATTTTATTTATCAGTTTGGGGGGTTTTGGCTTTTGTTTGTTTGTTTGGTTGGTTGGTTGTTTTTTTTTCTTTTTTGGCAGGGAAAATGACAGTGTTATGACGTGTTTGTAAGGGTCAGTTGTAAATTCATAGAATCATAGAAAAGTTTGGGATGGAAGAGACTTTAAAGATTATGTAGTTCCAACTACACAGGCAGGGAACCTGCCACTAGACCAGGCTGCTCAGAGCCTCATCCACCCTGACCTCGGACCTGCCAGGGACAGGGAATCCATTGCTTCTCTGGGCAATGTTCCAGTTTCTCACCTCCTTCACAGTAAAGAATTTCTTCCTAAAGCCTAACAAAAATCTTCCCTCTGATGGTTTGCAGTCATTCCTCCTGTCCTACCACCACATGCCCTTGTAAAAATTCCCCCTCCAGCTTTCTTGTAAGTCCCCGTACGTCCCCTTTAGTCATGATGCCTCATTACCAAGATATCTGCTTTRCAGATGGCACCAACGTGAAGAGCAATGTTTAGTAATTACATTGCATTGGTAAAATGTGTGGGCAAAGTTTAATCACTTAACACCCTCGAGTGTGCCAACCCTGCCTCCACCGCCTCAGCACCATGAAGGAGGAAACAAAAGAATTATTTCTGCTTCTTTGTAAGAAAGGGAGATTAGGAGGTGAAGTGTGATATAAGGTAAGAATGACAACTCAGAGAGGGTTTTCCAACCCTGGGCTKCTTTCCTTGGGCAGGGGTAACAGAGAAAGCCACTGCGTTTTAGAGAAATGAAAGGCAGAGATCTGCTGAACTGGCATGGGCAATTGCTCATCAAACCACTCAGCGCTCTGAGGACTATGCTTAAAACAAAAAATGAAAGGGAAAAAGCTGCAGTCAGTGGTCGTAGTGAAATTTGACATGACTTTGCGAGAGCATCTTCGGGTATTCGGTGTAAGGTGTCATATGAACAGAAGGGTGTGAAACCTCTGCTTTGCATGAAGAGTCAGATCACTTCCAGGCAGCAAAATGCCTTGGTTTCACTTCCTTCTTGTGTTTGGAACCGATGATAATCCAGCTGTGACTGTGGAGTCTCACTGAAGGACCACTTCAATTCTACACAGCACAATTCTTTTCTATCCTATTCTGGCATCTCTTTCAAGTAGATTAGTGCCCAAACAAAGAGCTTGTGTTAGTACTGCATGTTCAGTCCTCTTCTGCATGCATTCCACAGATACCTGCTAAAGAACACAGATAAAAAATTGCATGCACTTAGACCCTTGGAATGGGCAGATATTTTCAGGGTAGCTCCTCCTGCATCATTTGTAACCTGGCTGATTCTCAGGAAAGGCAGTGCAGGAGAGCCATCTGAACCTGGGGCTTCCTCGCAAAGGGATTGTTCACAGTTCCTGGGCAACAAGACATACACAATGGTGATTTGCTTCCTCACTTTTGGGTGGAATGTGAAGCAAAACAGRGCTGGAAGGGACATAGGGCCCTCACATTCTGGCCATCTGCTGTTGACTAAATTCAAAATGATTTGGAGACACGATGTTGTGTGTCAACAGAAGAGAATATTATGAGACAAGCTTGCCAATGTTAATGTGGAACCATTTAATAAAATACCATTTAATAATGTGGCACCATTTAATAAAATACCATTTAATAATAAAAGGATTTGGAGAAGGGATGCTCTATTTCTGTATTAAAATACATTTCAGTGTAGCTGATGATTTACCACAGAACATTCAATGCTCTGTGATAATTTGAATATGGAGATAACTAAAAGGTGTGGATCTAACCTCTCCAGGCAGGACAGTGTACCTAAAAGTCAGACCTGCACTCAGAAGATAGCAGGACAGAGACAGATGTCATGGCTTTTTTCTTTGCTTTTTGCTTAATTTCTTGCCCCAGCTTATGATATAATACTTGTCGTGCTACTGTGTTTTGGTCAAAGGACCACAATGGCACTATGAGACCCTGTTTGTGTTTCTAGATTTGCYTTTCCCAGAGGCTGAATGATCATGAATCATCCCATTGCTCTGTGCTTTTCTTACCTGCAAAATTGGATGCTTGGCAAGTGGACTCCTCTGAAGTGTGAGGAGATTTAGTGATCAAATTAGCCAAGTAACCCCCCAAAACTATAACTATAATACTTGTATAAGTATWGACAAAATGTGACTTGGCAAAATGCTTTTATCCCATACTTCATCCTTCTGCTATTCTTAAAAATTTGGTTGTAATGTGAGACCAAAGGAAGGTGATCTGTGAGGCACAGCCTGCTGTGGGTGAGATGTGTGTCTGACAAGTTTAACAGGGCAGCCTAACCCAGCATGGTCACTCTGGGTGAATAGCTCTCAGGAGAAGGCAGTAATCCTGACTTAGTATTTCAGATCCTGGAATTACATCTTCTGCTTGGCTGTAAAATTACAGAAATCAGTTGTGTTTAATTGTGCTCTGATTTGTTCTTAATATGTTAGGAAGACTGAACAGTTTAAGTAAAGAATCTTTCCCAAACTCCCTTGTTTCAGCTCTCTTTACACTCTATCCAGTAATTCAGCACAAAAGCACTGTTTAATTTAGAAYCTGTAATGGCTCACTTTGAATTTCGGTGGGGCCTCCATTTTGTCACTATCCCTGGAGGTAATTAAAAGCCATGTGAATGTGCTGCTTGCGAACGAGGTTTACTGGTGGACTCAGCAGTGCTAGGTTAGCSGTGGTGTTCGATGACCTTAAGTATCTTTTCCAAACAAAATAATTCCAGGATTCTAGGAATTATTTTGAATCCCAGAATAACAATGGTTTGAGGTGGAAGGGACTTTTGACAATCATCTAGTCCAACCTCTCTGCATGTTAACTTTGCATTTGTTTACAATGCTTGATGCATCCTTGAGCAGCACAATCACCTTCCCTTCATGCCAACACTTCCAGCAATTAAGTTATTGTTTAACCAGCTTTAACTCCTTAAACTAAACCAAGATCTGCATTGCATAGTGTTATTACCACAAGCTGATTGGAGCACTAATTTTTGTGCAGTATCACGCCTGTTGTGAGTTGTGTCTCATCTGYCCATGCTGCTGTTCCCAGGGAGTCCTAGCATGCAGCTTTTGGGCCTGCCATTGTTGGTGAAATTTGGTTCTCTCCCCTGAAAAATGACCATTTTCCTAGTAGTAGTGGTCTAGGTCTGTTCCACASATGGAGGTCTTCTTTCAAGCTGCAGAGGAAAAAGATTAGATGGCATTAGTGGTCATTAGCTGAGATGGAAGGAGATACTGGGGAGAATTTCTTGCAAGGAATATCCCAAGAGTCATATGGAGCTGAGCTGGAGAGGTCTGATCTTAACCTGTTGGGAACCACTTCCATTTTCGTCTGTTCTGGTGTGCTGCAGACATTTTCCATTGCAGCCTGTCTGAACTGAGCCCACAAGTGCCCTCTTCCTCATTGTCCCTCCTTTCTTTTCAGTATGGACCCTTTTTTCCTTTCCCTTGGAGGCTCCCACCTACCATCCAGTCACATACTGCAGCCTAAAATTATCTGATTTCTTCAAAAGACTCTTCAGAATAAGCTCTTTTCCCATTRTATCTGTCAAAGCAGGGTTTAATTCCTGTATAAAAACATTTTYCCCAGCTATCCTTAGTAAGCTGTTTCAGGGTTCTGTATGCACTCGGAGACCACCCTTTTGTCTTCTTCAACTGGGCTTATTTTCATCCATATCCTTCTGTTTTCATATTCTACACACATTAGTGCAAATGAAATGGCAGGTGGGGTATTTTAATCATTGTCAAGCCGCAATGAGTGTCTTTTGTACTAAATACTCTGCTCCCACAGATAGTAGGCAACCATAGAGGAATTTAATATGATACATCATTGCATTAATGATGGAAYCTCCTGTTCTGAATCTGGAGGTGAGGAATGCAAAAGCAGCAGAAGTGYACTTTAGACCATGGAAAGGATGCAAGTAGTGTTTCACAAAAGGACAGCAGTAGGAAGAACATTTAAATCTCTAAGTGTGTGTGAAGAACGCCATGTCAAACTCAGTGGTTATTTAAAAGAATACCAGAAATGAGTTGACTGTTATACTGACCCTTTAACCACAAGATAAGATTTTTTTTCAGCTGGTGTGTAAGAATAGGTTTGAGCCACAATGCGCACTCCTTGATCAGTATCGTAATTTCCCCCTTTTCCCCAACCACGTGTTAAAGAAGCTTCAGTATCTGCCACGTAAATGTTACCCATTGACGAACCACTGAACATTTTTCCAGGACCGTGCTTTAACTCAGACTCTTTCGAGGGATTCCCTTGATTAGCCAAAAAATGAAGGGTTCTTATCTAACACTATCTTGTCTAAATATATACAGCCTGTGATGACGAAAAAAAAATTCAAGACCAGGTATAAATACCACTGACAGGCTGATGAAGTTCAGTCGTCTATTTGCTTCTAATAGAAGATTTAACTATTAGAAGTTGAAGCTCTCTGCTCTTAGACCTGTTCTCTCAAAATTTATCTGAGCAGTTTAACTGAACCATCACCAAGAAAATGGCTTTCCAAACCTACAGCTTGCTTGTTCTGTCTGTCATCATGATTTCTTTTGGACATGTTGAAAATAGATCGAATCTTCTTCAACTTCAAAATGATATAGACAAACTGAAAGCTGATTTTGTAAGTATAGTCTCTGCATTTCTCTTCTCCTTCTGTTTGTGCTTTCCATATRGTCCAAACTTGACCACTGCTTGACATATTCGATATGCACCAATAGAGGGTAATAATGGAACTAACTTTTTGATCATACCTTTTTTAAAATAAGAATGTGGATTACTTCTTTTGTTTTACTAAGCTCTTTCATTAACCTGATTCAGTTTTTCAGTAGTCATAATTATTGTAGCAATTTGCATTTATTTCAGGGATGCTCTTTTTTTTTCACAATAGCTTCTCCTAGATCAATTGAGCTTTAATTACATGGAATACTTTGTAGCAAGAAATCTTAATGCAGTTCATGGTAAATATATGAATCTTTGTTGGGTTCTGACTAGATGCAATTTACTGACTTTTCAAATTTTTTATTAGCAATGTTGATGGGAGATTTAGTACCAATTAGCGATTTAAACAAATTTGAGATGAACTTTTGCTTTAACAAATGCATTTGCTACTTATTTTGAATTGCAGTAATGTGTTTGTAAAAGGTGGTTCCTACATCTTATTCTTTTGCATCCTCCAATTGTTTTACTTCCATATGTGTGACTATGATCTGGCATGGGAATGTAAGCTGGCATGATATTCTTTCTTGTCAAAAAGAATTTGGGTAACTTGATGACTGTAATGTTAATTCACCAGTCTACACATGGGAGGCATAAAGGTAGTACGSAGCTGAATTCAGCAGGGATAAGTCACAGAGACAGCAGATCTACGACAAAGTCACTTTAAATTAAGAGCTTTCATTTTCAATATATTTTTGTTGGGGTTTTTCCCTCTAAATGTGAAAGAAACTGCAACAGTCTGCTCCTATTTTCGGCTCCACTTTTGCCATGATTTTGTCATAATTTTGTGCAAATGACAGTTGAAATTCAGTAGTCAGAATACCACCCTGAAGTGGTAAAGATAGTAGTGGGATAYTTCAGTGTTTGCAGGAAACTGGCTGTAAAACATTATATCTTTAATTTGTCATTGGCAAGACCAGAGAGAGTCTTTCTAGAATGTATATAACTCTGTTGAAAAGATCATTAGCCATGGTGAACTTTTGCACTGACATTAAAACTTGGTTCCACAGAAGGTGCTCCCCATCTTTCAGAAGAAGAAAAAATCAAAGTTTGCTAGTGTGCTCAGCATAGGGAGCCAATCAGCCTAGGAAGTTTCTGTCAGCCTCCAAGTTCTCCCTTTACACTCACTCTACTAAATAACTGAGCAGACAAAAGAAGGAAATACACTATTATATACAAAAAGGAAAAAAAAAMCCACACACAGAGGAGGAAATGATTCAGTTTGCCTTTCCTTGGTAGGAGAGTTGTATTGCTCTTTGTTTCCTAGAGTCTGTCACAGTGTAGTCAATCTGATGGTTAAACTCTGTCCCTGGGAGCCTCTCCATTGCCCACCAATCTTGCATATCCCCATGCCTGACTCTGGGCTGTGGGGGATATTCTCCAGCTCTGCAAACTGCAGTTTCATAGTAAAAATAATTTGTTCTAGATGAGATTTTACTGAGACTGCATGAATTTAAGGTCACATATTACAAACTGCTGGACTTTGACTTGCCAGAAAGCATGCCAAGATCAGACCCYATAATTTTCTAGCCAGTTGCTGTGCTTATAAGCTTTTGTTTTCAACTGGCAATAGCAAAGCTTGCAGGAGCATTTGGGAAAATAGATGGGCTGAACATCCCTATTCAGATGAGTTACAGCAGAAGACATAAAAAAGCAGACAAATACCATTTCTGATATCAGGCAGCCATACAATGGGATTTGGTGGTTAGAGAAGTTGTGATAACTATAGGCCACATGTGYAAAAGTCTGGCTTTTGCTGCTCATTTGAATAAAGAACACAATTGTCCTTGTGAGAAATATTGTTTGTGTAATAGATATGTTTGTTCTTTTTTTCAGAATTCAAGTCATTCAGATGTAGCTGATGGTGGACCCATTTTTACGGATAAGCTGTCAAGCTGGACAGAGGTGAGTCAAAACTGGATATGACAAAGCATCTCAGGCACTTTATCGCGTGTTTTTGGTACACAGCAGATCCCAGAACCAGCATGATTAGCTGCAGTAGAATGAACATGAGCACAGTTCTCTTTGATAGCTTGGAAATGAGACAAAAATCCCTATAAAAATACTTTATATTGCAATGTGAACTGACCCTGAGGTACAGGGAGCCTGGGAGATGAGCTGCAACATCTTTATCATCTTGTTTCMAGTGGCAGAGAACCCTTGCACCCTGTGTTTTAACTTCCTTTGTTCCCTGCTGATGGGCACTCACAGACCTTTCTTTTTGATTGAATTTTTCAACAGAGAAATGAAAAAAGGATCATCCTGAGTCAGATTATTTCCATGTACTTGAAAATGCTTGAAAAGACTGACAKGTCGAAGGCTCATGTCAGGAACATAACTGAAGAGCTCCATACTCTGAAAGAAAGCCTTTCTGATGGCTCACAGAAGATAGAAGATCTCAAGAACCTGACAAAACTTGAGGTAAGGCTCTCCCTTTGCCTCCAGAGCTCATGATGTTATATTTTCCAGTTGTGATTTGTGTGTGATTAAGCCAATTGTACGTCAGTAACCCATGTGGTAATCCTGCCTAGCTCAGTTCACACTGGAAAACCAAATGTTTCCAGCTGCAGGGGCTGCTGCAGGTTTACAGTGTGGGCTGTGCTGAGTCTGTAATCTGGCACAGAGGTGCTGCCAGCACTGCCACACAGGCGGTACACCAGGGGTGCCACTGATGCATTCGTGGCATAGAAATTGGTTGGGAAAGTTGTGCCCAGCAGCAGTCCGCAGACAGTGCCCCAGGGGAGTCAGATGCTTTTCACTGCAGAGCAGCTCTGTTTCACAGAAAATGGATCCTCTGTGGCAGTGGCAAAGCAACACAGAAAGGGGAAAACAAAAATCTGCGACCAGGTGGCTCTTTGTTGCGGTAATTAGGTAGTAAGGAATTGAAAATTGCAGACRTCCTTCTGTTTTGCCCCAGTAGCAGGTAGCCTGTGGGTGGTGATCAGTAAATATTTATAGCTCTTGGCATGATTTTTGTTCCATTTGTTTCTTATTTATGACAGATGAGTGACTTGAAAGTTCAGCGCAAGGCTGTGAATGAGCTGTTCAGCGTCTTACAAAAGCTGCGGGACACCTCAAGTTCTCCCAAAAGAAAACGAAGCCAGTTTCAGAGGCTGTGCAAATGCTAATGCCATCTTATGATCTTTTGTACTGAGCTACTGTGCAAATCTTTTCGTGGCACRGATTTTTAAATGTCAATCTTCCTATTGATTTTTATACATTTATTTATTAATATTTAAGTGTTTAAAATAATTATTTATTAAGAAATACTAACCAAAGTATTTATACTCCCTAATATTATATAAGAAATGACTTTGTCTTAAAATCCTGTCTATTTGTTATATGTTTGTTGACCTGAAAATAGAGAATGAGGCAATGTTTACCCAGTTTCCATATGGAAATCTTGAAATGACATGATGTGGTACCCAGCATTCCATCTGGTGTTGCCTTGAGAGAGGGATGTTTTAAGATTAGTCTCATCTATTTGGCATGGAGATACAGGCACCAGCACAGGGAAGTTACTGCATTCAGGAAAACACATTTATGTCTGCTTACTACTAAATGTATCGAAATCCAAATCAAGCAGTACACATGCTAAAAGATAAGCAAATGTTGGAGTATATTTCAGAATTAGAGGATTGATGATTAATTGATGGTTGTTGTTATTATTATTTTATTATTTTTATTTTTATTTTTATTATGCACTGAAGTTACCAGGAGGGCAGTCTACTTAGTATCTCACGAGAATGTGACTAACTGCAATGCACTGACTTGACTTTAGCTCTCAGATTTAAAATATTGCTGTTGGTTTTTCAAATGAATCATTCAAATGTGTCTGTTGTTATTTTATTTATTTGGAGGTAGTAATATGGAATTTGTAATCTCAAAGACTATTTTTTGCACTGAAATATTGTTAAAAACTTCAGAATTTTTTTAACAGAGACTTTTAAAAATAGAATATTGAATAAATAAATAAATGCATAAATTYTATAAGTGTGTTCTCATGTTTTTTCTCCATAGTCTCTGTGAAAAGTAAAATGTTAATCTTGTTCTCCACTACGACAAATTATGGTCCTGCCCAGACATATAAAATGCATTTTGTTTCCTCCTGCCTCTCCAAGACTTGGGAAAGGATAATGTTTTTTAAGAAATATGGCAGAAGAGTCTAAAATTCCCCAATTTTTCTTGTATCTGGATGAGGAAACATAATTTTGCTTGTGAGAAGGCATTGATCATTTGAAGTTTGCTGTTACTCTGATGAAGGATAAAAGTAGTTTACAGTTTCTCTGCACGTCAAAACGATGGAGCCCAGGCTGAGATCAGCCCAYCTGCTGGGCTCTCTGCCCAAACTGGTACAAGCTGGAGCCTGGGACACCTCGGGCCAGTCTCACAGGCTCCYAGATTCTCAGGTCCTCAGCAAATTATCTGGGGCTAGACTGTTTGCACTCACTGGGAATGGGGCAAATTTTCCTTGGCTTTCCTGCCAACAGGAGACTTTCAACTACCTCCTGAACTTTGACTGACTCAACAAATTCCAGAAATAGCACCACATCACGTCCAGAGTTTAATTTCAGTAAGTCCAGCAAGWTTAGTCGTAATTGTTATGGCTACTCCTACTCCCATGGGCTTGGTGCAAGACACCTTCATTCACATCCACATCATAACCATGTGACTCAGTGATCCTGGAGACTTGGACTGTTTTGAAGGAAACAGCTGCTCTTGTTTATATTCATCACAGACATGTATATRTGTGGCAGATGGACATGAAATTTCTCCTCTCTGGGATTTTCCAGTTTCTGGATTAAGCATGAGAAGCCTCAGCAAGAATTTAAAACAGACAATGTGTACTACTTCTGTGTTGTGTTCTTTCATGGGGTATTGAAGAGACTAACTCCTGCCTGGGGGATGCACAACCAGGTGTAGCAAGCTCTATTGGG